TGAAGCCGTATCAGTGTTATTTCAAAGTGTCATTCCCTACAGACCCAAGAGGCCGGCTGTCACCACAGGCCCGTGGCAGGTCGTGGACCTCGCTGCCTACAACCTGGCCCATGGCTGATCTGGGCCGGCCCCTGATGGCACGAGAGGCACTGGCGCCTCCTCTGGTTATTTCACGCTTAGTGACATCACATGGTTCCTCTACTGACATTGCTCAGCATCCCGCAGCCCAACAGAGCTACGAGGTGACGGGGAGGTGACCTCTCCACCCCCGGCTGAGCCTCCAGGAGCCTCCAGCTCACGAGGTCCTTGGCCCTGGCATTTATCCAGCCCTGCACTGTGCGAACATCTCCCTTCATCCTCACACGACCCCGTGAGCCCAGGGCTGCCCTGAGCCCAGCTCACAGGAGGTAAGGCATCTGCCCACAGCCTCCCCATTAAGGGAGGGGCAGAGATTTGAACCGGAGTCTGTCCCATTCCACAGCCCCCATGAATGACCCCTGACCTGTCCCTTGGAACAATCTGGAAGCTGGGTAGACACCAGGCACCACCCCCCTGCCCCCAACAGCTCACTACACAACCCGAGCTAAGTATAGCCCAGCCCTGTGTTTACATTCCCTGCAGACATGGCCGCCTTGGGACGGGTGAAGGAGTCATGGGAAAGTGCACGGCGGCGGGGCAGGGGGAGGTGGGATGCAGGCCACTCTGGTCCATGACTAAACTTGCTCAGAAGCCCAGGGCCAGCGGAGGCTCCTCTGGGACAGACGGTCCCCATGGAGGCCACCCAGTGAAGCTGTGTATGGTGGCGGGGGATGGGCCAGGGAGGCGGAGAAAGGAACTTCTCCAGCATCCCTTACTGCCTGGGTGATCTCATCCAGCCTCAGAACCACCCGTGTCCACAGCTCTCATCCCCACCACCAGGTCCAAGGTCACCCGGCTGCTTAGTGTTGGGACCAGGACTGATGGCTCTTTTCCCATCACCCACACACCCCTTCTAGTCCCAAAAAACCACCAGCTGCTGGGTCAAGTGTGCCCTGGGGAGGGGACCCAGGACACCCACATCGCAGCTTCTCTTTCCGGCAGAGCTGCACCTGCTCCTCGTCCATGGCGATGTCGATGGGCCGGAAGTAGGACATAATGGTCAGGAAGTCCTCGAAGTTGATCTCATCGGCCAGGCCGCTGGACCCCTTGCGCAGGTTCCTGCGGGAACAACGAGGGGGTGTCAGAGATGCATCAAGAACGGACTCTTGTCCTTTCGCTGCCAACAGCTCTCGAGAACCCAGCCCTTCCGGGCACATGCACCACCTACAATGGCTGTCCCAGCCTTGGATTCTGTTTCCCAGCAACCTATTCAGGGGAAAACCGGGGCCCCCAGAGGGTTTAGTCTGGCCCCGCGCTGCCCTCTCCCAAGAACTCATTGGCTGGGGGGCTGCGACGGGGGTACACAGTCAACAGCTACTGGGAAGCTGGGAAGGAGGGCTGCCCAGGTGTGCTTCAATGCACAGAGCCGGCCCTCACACACGGGACACCGAGGCAGTAATTCACCAAGGTACACCTCTAGACTCTCCTTTAGATCAGGGGCCAGCAGCCTGCAGCTGGGGGGCCAAATCCCACCTGCCACGTATGGCCCATGAGCTAAGAAAGGTTTTTATGTTTTTATACAGTTGAAAAAAATGTTTGAAAAGAATTAAAAAAAAAGAATCGTACCTCATGGCAAGTGGAATCTACATGAAATTCAAATTTCAGCCTCCATAAATAAAGTTTTATTGGCACACAGCCAGGCCCATTCATTTACATATGTGGCTGTGTTCAAGCTAGGAAGACAGAGTTGAGCAGTTGTGACGGAGACCATGCGGCCCACAAAGCCTAAAATATTTACTCTCTGGCCTTTTAGAGAAAAAGTTTGCCAATTCCTGCTCTCTCTCGGCTGTCTGAAACTCCAGCACAGTGATCAGTTGCAGGCAGCTCTGAGATCATCTGTTTCCTACCAGAGAGCCAAGTTCACCTGTGGCTGCAGGTTTTCTAATAGGTCAGGGCAGGTCTGAGGTTGTCCATATGCAGGTGCTTTTCTGAAGGGGCAGCGCCCCCCAAGCTGGGTCTGCCCCATGCCTAGCACACGGGGGGGACTCAGCCAGTGTGTGAGTGCATCAAGAGGCCATCGGGCACAGGTCCTGGCGGAGAAGAGTTTTGAGAAAACAACCTGGAGACGACTCCCACCAAACATGGGCTCCTGACCCATCGCTGCCGAACCCCCTTCACTGACCGACTCCTGCAGGGCCAGGTTGCCAGCGGGCTGACCCGCTGAGGGCTCCCCCTGTCCTCACTGTGCATCCTCGCAAAGAGATAGCCCCGGGCTGGCCCGGGGTGACTCACAGTCAAGTGCTAGTGCTTCTCAAATGCACCTGGGTCCCACCTGGGGTCAGGACCACACATTCGCGGGTCTCTCGAAAGGGGTCCACCTTCTCCCTTTCGAATACCGCCCCTGAAGTGTGCAGCACACTTCACAGTTTAGAAATCTCACTGCTCCCAATCTGATTTTCCAGAAAGAGGTGGCTCCCAAGCCTGGAACGGGGAAGGCGGGTTGTGAAACAAATCAGAGAGATGAGGCGAGATCGTCCCTGGACTGAGGAAGCCTAGACTTTGAACATTTTTCTCCATCTTCCCTGAAAGCTTCTGTCTTACAAAGGTTTCCCACTGCTCCTCCGGACAGACGTTCAATAATCTGAGTTCTTGCTGTTAGGGGCACAGACCAAACTTACAGGGAGTAAAAATAGCCCTGGGATTTTCCAGACTCCTCTGAGGTACTTTTTGCTGCTGGGTTGCACGTCCTTCTCAAGGAGCTCAGACTGTAGTGAGAGGGATGAAGATGAGCTCAGAGGGGACACGTGACAGGTCTAGGGGCAGGGAGGCCACGTCTGTGTCCTTTTCAGGGCAAGTCGAGACCAGGCTGCTTCAGCGTCAGGATCCAATTCAGGGGCGAGGGGTCCCTTCCCCTCCTAGTGTCCCTGGTGGGGGGAGCGGTCCACACGGGCCCACATCATGGGCTTTAAAGGCAACGAGAGTGCAGAGGCCGAGGAAACCCAGACATAGCACCTGGAGCCAGACCTACCTGCTCTCCACTCTATTTCCAAAACAGGGCACCCAAGGCCAAGGTTGGCGGATGGAAGAATGGGGGCTACATCCAAATCTGCAGCCCAGCACGAGAGCATTGATTTACAGCAGTGTTTTTGCTTCCTTAACTCCATGACCCAGTAAGGAACAGAGCTCTTGGAGGTGGGGCGGACCCCACCCAAACTGCCCTCTAGGACTGGCCTTTTTGGCTTTTCCGATCACTGTCCGGTCCCCAAATCGTCTTAGGAAGCAAGGCAGATACTGCTATTTCTTGAAAGGAAGATCTCATCTCCAGCCCCTCCCTCCCCTCCTTGTCAGCACTTACAGGGCGAGATGTGGAGGGTGCGAGCGCTCTGAGCTGTTCTGGGTCTGGACGGGAAGCCGTTCCTTAACCCGCCCCTCCTTGGTGACTTCTGGGCTGCCTGACTCACCTGGCGCCTCCCTTTCTCCTCACCGTGTCTCTAAGCAGCTGCCCAAGGCTGAGACCCCAGGACCCACGGGGGGAGGCCATGCCCTCTGCCCTCCCGCATCACCTTCTGATGGCAACTCCCCACAGCAGGTGCCTCGCAAACTGTCCGTGCTGCAGACCAGGAGGCTCTCGCTCCCTCCCCATCACATCCAGTCAGTCACCAGTTTCACTCCTGAGCTTTGCAAAATGGACATCAGACTCTGTGGCTCCCCTGCTCGATGCCCTTTGGAAGCTCCTCCAGCTCTCGGAGGGACCCTCCAAGTCCCCACCTGGTCTCCCAGGCCTGAGAAGTCTGGTCTCAGCCGCCCAGCCCAGCCCACACCACCCCTTCCCCCTCCCCTCCTCAGGGGCCTGGGGGCTTGTTTCAACATCCACCTTCTGGACACTCAACATCCTGATCGACTGAGGCCTCTTCCCCCATTCCTCAGAGGGCTCTGTGCCTGCACCTGCCCTCAGCAGCTCTGTCCTAACTTCAGAGGCTCCAAGTAGAGGGGTCTCTCCTGCCCTTGACTGCGGACTGTGGACTCAGGTTTCAGCTCCGGTCCTGCCCACACCCCGATCCCTCGGCAGAGGCTGCACTCATGGCCACACCTGAATTCCACCCTAAGAGCTAAAAACACAACTCCTGGATCTGTTGCCGGCTCCCACAGGTGACCACCGAGGGCAGATTTGTTTTAAGAAATAATTACATATAGTGAAAGGTACAGATCTCACGTTTGGACCAACGTGTGCACCTGTGAAACCTGCCCCCCAGTTAGGAGACTAGAGGCTCCCCCCGTGCCCCTCTCCAGTCTGACCAAGCTCCCTCCTAGGGTGGCAGTGAGGACGGGAGGACCAGGCCTGCCAGGCCCTTGGCCCCAGGTGGGCTCCACAGGCTGGGGGAAGCGGGGTTCCCCAGTACCTCCAGGGCCGGCATCCTCTCCACGCCCAGAACCCTGGGAAACGCCAGTCCCTCCAGCCCCACCCATAGAAGGCTGGGTCTCCGCCAACGTCACACCTGGCCAAGTGTGCATCCAGTGTTTTGGAAACAAGCCTCGTAGACACATATAAGCCGGCACACGAACACACAAACACACATGCATGCACATATACCCCCTTCTCACATCAGGTGCCCACGAGGCTCTGGTCACTCTTCACGGTCTTCCTGGGAGGCCTCCAACCCAGACAGTGAGGTTCTCACCCACCCAGGCACCTCCCGGCTCTGCTACCTCTTAGCCCCTCCCCCTTCTGCTCTGCCTCCTGCCCTCCAGGCCTCCCTCTGAGATTCCGAAGGCAGAACCAGGATGAAAAAGGAGAGAGGGGCACTGGATCCCATCACTGATCTGTCACTGACTGTGTGACTTCAAAGATTCCCCCTTTGGCAAATGTTACAATTTGCTGTAAAGATTCCTCTGGTACAGACTCTCTTACCCCCACCCCTAGACCCGACCTACTTCGGTCCTGTTATCCCCTCCCAGGTGTCTCAAAGCTGCCCACCGCAACCCTCCACTCAGGAGCCCTGGCTCCAGCCTGGCGGACCCTGGCTTCCGTCCCCATCTGTAAGATGCAAACCAGGTTCATGCTCTGCACCCATCTTAAAGCCCATCAGCACCCCACTGCTGCTCCGAGGTTGAAGTCAAGACCCCTCTTGCTGATTTAAGAGCTGCACAATGCAGTCCTGTCCACCCGACACCTCTCTGTGCTGCAGCCAGGCCTCCTCTCTGCCACTCACAGTCCTATACTCTGTGCCACAGGGCCTTTGCACATGCAGTTCTGTTCTCTCTCTGCTTTGCCTAGTTGACTCTCGGGCACTCTTTCCTCAGGGCTCGTCCTGTGGGCCCTGGAGGAAGGCCTCTGCATTTTCTGGGGCAGCCTGAGGAACCCCTAACCCTACCCCATGAACAGATGAGGCTCAGAGTCTTGCCTGGGGCCCCACAGCTGTGGCAGAACCAGAGCTGGGCAATTCAGGCTCACACAACTTGAAACCTCTCCGGGAAGTCCCTACCCATTACATGGCCTCAGCAGGCCCTATCCCCTCCTACCTCTTTCCTCTTTCTGCCAGTGCTCTCTGTTTCTTAGTGATCTCTGCAGACACAGGGTGTCAGGCCTGGGGCCCTGGTGTATTTGTCCACAGGCTGCTGCAGCCTGGGGAGGGTGTGCCCACCTTCTACCTCTCAACCAAGCCTCAGACACATGATCTCCATCCAGTCACGTGAGTCTTTCAACTCCGACCACACGGGGACGTCTGGGGCCATAAACTCTGGTCTCCGCCTCAGCTCTGGGACCCTGTCCATGGTGCTGCCTTCTCTGCCTCAGTTTCTCCATCTATAAGCCAGAGTGATGAGCCCAATGACAGCTACCCCAGATCTTCAACAAGCACCGTCTCAGCGCAGCCTCAGAGCGACCATGCGAGTCAGGTGCTATCATTACCTCCATTCTGTATATGAGGGAACTGAACAGCCTCCAAGAAGCCCCCAGTGACCCCTGCCTCCTGGTATGCATGCACCTGTACAGTGCCCCCTCCAAGTGTGGGGTGACCTAGTGACTCACTTCTGATGAAGAGAATATAGCATAGGTTACTTGCAAGATTAAGTTACCAAAAGATGGTGTCTTCCATCCCAGATGCCCGATCTCTCTCCCTCTCTCTCACTGGAACATCTAACTGGGGGAAGCCAGCTGCCACAAGTGGTAGCCCTAGGGACCAGTCCATGAGACGCCTCCAGCCATGTGAGTGAGCTCGGAGGCAAAGCCTCCCCCAGTGGAGCCTTCAAGTGACTGCAGCCCTAGCTGACCCACCCTGAGACCAAGAACCCAGATCCCTGATGCATAGAAATAGTGAGCTAATAAACATGCATTGTTTTAAACTGCTAAGTTTGGGGGGTGATTTGTTACACAGCTATAGCTAACTAATACAGAGGCCTAGAGGGACTGAGTGAGCTGTTTCAAGTCACCCAGCTACGAGTCCAGGCCTGCCAGACCTCAGACCTGTGCTTGTAGCTCCTACCCAACCCAGCCCCCTCTTCTCTGCATCAGCTTAAGGGGCTGTTCTGAGCACACAATTAATGCTAGAACTTACCAAGGCAAAATGCCCCCGCAGAGAACAAAGCCACCCACCATCAGCGGTGCCAGAAGGGCCCACCTGTTGTCGAAGAAGGCACGGACGATTTTGGATCGGATCGGGTTGAGCTCCAGGTCAGGAACGTTGTTGAAGTTCTCCTTGCTTTGTTCCAAGGAGGAGAGGCACCGGGGAAAAAAATGAGAAAAGAAAGTGATGTCAGAGGGCGTGTTCATCGCTTATCAACTGTGATTTTTATCCTGAGCAGGTCCCACAAGAACAGAGTTGAGAGATAAGACTGGAGTGTTCTGCGTTGATCTGCCTCCTTGTCTGAACTTCAGGCTGGTGGGAGCAGGGAGGGTCTTTGTGAATCTGATAAAGGTCCTGGACATCCACCCACCCCACCCAGGAAGACACAGCAACACAAGATCAGCACCCCATTCCAAGGAGTCAGAGGTCCCCCAAAGCCCGTCGCAGACCCCAGGTAGGGAAGCCCCACATTGGCCCTCCTGGAATTGGAGCAGCAGGATGCTGGCTTGGAGACCTGGAAGGCAGTCTGGCAGGTCCTCAACGGGTGAAACGTGGAGTTACCATGTGACCCAGCAACTCCACTCCCAGGTATATACCTGGGTATATACCCCAGAGAAATGGAAACATCCATCCACATAAAAACTTGTCCGTGAATGTTCAGAGCAGGATTCCTCCTAACAGCCATAAAGTACAACCATCTCAAGTGTCTACCAACAGGTAACTGGATAAACATGATCTACTCATACGATGGAATATTATTTAGCTGTAAAAAGAAATGAACTATGGACGCATGCTACAACACGAGCAGACCTTGGGGACACGATGCTAAGTGAAAGAAGCCAGACACAAAAAGCCGCATAATGTATGATTTCATTTATATGAAATGTTTGAGATAAGTAAATTCACAGAGACTGAAAGGAGATAACTGGTTGCCAGAGGCTGGGGGTTGGGAGCGATGGAGAATGGTGGCTAAATTCTTTGGGGGATGATGAAAATGCTGTGAAACTGATCACGGCGATGGATGCATAACTCTATATAAACACACCAGAAGCCATTGCATTGCACATTTAGTGGGTGAGTGTAAGGTATGTGAACTATGTTTCAGTAAAGCTGTTAAAAAAAAGAGATGTTTGCCTGAGAGGGTGAATTTCAAACCCTACCCGCCCTGTTGCCGGCCACAGGTGTCGCTGGGTCCTGGAGGCTGCGGGTTTGCAGGCGACCTGACCTGCCCGCAGGAGACCCTTCTTTGTTCTCAGAATCTGCTTCCTGCTTACTTTGTCTTCTGCTCTGTGGACTTCAATGGGCAGGGGCCTTGGAAAGGCCCTCGGGCACCAGCGGTAATCCCCAAGAACAAGGAAGCAGACCCAGAGCGGGGGTGGGGAGGTGGGAGGATTTTAGC